AACCTGGAACACCTTATGTGACTGAACCTCGCAGATTGTGAACGACCTGAAGTTCACCGTCAACCACGCGGTGGAGCCGATCAACGAGAAGATCCACCAGATATCGCAGAACATGAAGAAGCATGATAAAGACAAAACAAACGACGACAGCTGCATCGACTCGCCGCGATCCCTGCACAGGGTGATCAGTGGGATCGACGACCCGCTCCTGAACGGGAGCCTCAGCGACAACAGCGGCCCCAAGAGAGCGCGGAGGCAGCAGCGCAGGAGGTTGGGTGCGGTGATCAGTGGCGAGAGCAGCGACCATGGGCTGGGCGGGTACGAGATCCGGGGACACAGGTGGATCACGAAGGAGTGAGGAGGATCAGGATCGAAGCCCGGTCTGCACTGCAGCATCGAATACTTTCCGAACTGAAGCGCTGGCTGCTCTGGATCTTCAGGACTGCTAAAGCCTGAAAGGCAGTGATCAGACCACCTAAGTTCTTGATGAATCTGGGAGTCGGTGCTTGCAGAAGCAAGATATGTGTCATCACCCCCACGACATGGCGAATCGAGCTAGCGATTTTTTTGGCTGACTATTTCAGCCGCTGATGACATCGGATCTCACATATTGAACAGTATAGCAGGATTACTACAGCAAAGAGAAGGATCGTCATGACAGGTTTAATACATCATCGTTCGTAAACCTTTTGGATGAACATCTTCTGTAATGTACACAGACTTAAGATATAAAAGTATTAATAGATGTTTCGACGATGAGGCGTCGGGTCTTGCTCAGTTGTCACCTTTGTCACACTGTTATTATGGCATGACCCGTTGGAGCAGATAGCGAGGTGTTTATCACATTGCCTGAAGAATATTTCGGAGTCGGTTTTCTGAGTCGTCCAATCTGAATCGAACGGCGATGTGCCTTCTCCTACCTCCAGCTTTCTCTGTCCTCTGATCCCCCTGCTGGCCCAATTGCCTGCTGTCGTCACCTGCTCCCGGCGGTGCGCCTCCTCTTCTCTCTCTTGAATCGACTGAACCGAATTTGAAATTTCAGGCAACTTGCATACAACAAATGTTTGTTTTTGTGCCATCTGGAGGGAGTAAATTGCACAAAACCACCATTTAGAGACTAGATTTGCATAAAGCACTACCCTACACTTTTGTTGCAAAAAACACATCATTTTGCAAAAACCACCGATCGGCGATTTTGTCTCGGTTAAGCGTGTTTATGACAGATGGAGCATGCTAGTCAGGCTGACGTGGCACCAGTTAACACCTCGCAGGTAACGGCGCCGGTTGGTAACGTTGTGATCATCTGTGGAGCCATGTGGGGTCTACCTGTCATTGAAAGAAAAGATGCCTGCCTTTAATTTTTCCTTGCCTTATCTTCACCGTACTGAAACAGAGCTGAGGTGCACGTGCTTCGGCACCGGCGAGCTCCGCATGCCGCCGGTGATGTCGCTCGAGAGCATCAGGAGGCAAAGCGTGACGTCCTCCTGCTCCTCCTCGAACGCGCTCAGCATCGGCTGCGGCGGCATGGGGGCCAACGCTGCCACGCGCATCGGACTGTGCCTCCACCTGGGCAACACGACCATCACAGCAACCGGCGGCCGCCTCCATCTCGTTGTGGGCCTCCGGCAGCGCCTTGCTGAGTGAGCGTCCGCATAAGAAGCCATGGGGCTGCCTGGGGGAGGATCTGAGGCGGCGGGCGCGACCATTGGGGATTTGGGGGAGAGCCGAAGGAGTAGAGGAGAGGCGGGCTCGACCTCCGGGCGGCCACGGCGATGGCGGCCCCTGCACCGGCCAGAGGCAGGACGGGCTCCGCGCGGCAACGGCTACGGCGGCCTCTTCCCCAGCCAAGGGCAGGACGGGCGGCGGCCTCTGCCCCAGGGGGGTTCGGTGGTGAGGATAAGGCGAGGAAAAAAAAGCGAGTTTTTTTTCTTTTTTCTTTCAATGACAGGTGGACCCCACATGGTTCCACACAAGATCACAACGTTACGAACTGTCACCGTTACCTGTGAGGGGTTACGCGGTTCCACGTCAGCCTGACTGGCAGGCCCATCTGTCATAAACATGCTTAACCGGAACAAAACCGCCGATCGGTGGTTTTTGCAAAACGATTATAGAAGACATGGTGTTTTTTGCAACAAAAGTGTAGCGTAGTGTTTTCTGCAAACCTAGGCTTCAAAGCAGTGATTTTGTGCAATTTACTCCATCCGAAGGCGTGGGTGTATGAACTATGATGCTATGAAGCGGAGACAAGATGGACATGGCTTGCTGTCTCTTCATCTGCGTTGTTTGTACGCTTTAGACGGACGATGGCACGAGCAGCCATCATCCAAAAGTGCCCAACAGAAACTACATCACCATCGGATGGACAAAGGAAAAAAACAAACAGTTGGTGCAAAAAGCCACTTTTTTTCATTGGATTTTTGCTAAGTTGAGTGTTTACTAAAAGCACGAAATGTGCTGCTACAAAACAATGTCATATGTACAAATAAAAAAAACCACCGTATAACAGAATGATTGGCTTTTAACTTGCATTTAAATAGGTTTGAAGTTTGAATGGCAAATCATCACTGGTTCTATTATGTAACTATGTTGTTGTACTAATAAAAGGTTAGAATACATACATAGAGAATCAAACCCAGCCCCTACTCGTCCCCTCTACCGCTAGGTCGAGGTAGACTGGCTGGTCGTGGTTGGAAGGTGCATGATTTCAAACGATTGCCCGTGCCCGAGCGCGACCGACGCATCACAAATCACACAACCAAAAGTTAAAATCTGATGTATAACGAATTAATGACACAAGATGAGAATTGAGAGAGATTAGTAAACGGTGTGCTGGATTAAACTTGGCTAGATCATTGGCTGCAGGAAAAATAATTGGCTAGTGAATCAGCTTGCGTTTACGAATCAGATCATCAGAAAGGAGAGCAGAGACGGGCGGCGGCGAGGGCGCAGGACGGCAACAGCGCGCGGCGCTAATCATAGGGAATAATGCCCAGCGCCCAGGAGACTTTTTATGGAGGCCAATCAAAAAATATGGCCTTGTCATAGGCTTGTAAACGATCGCTAGTGGGCTTATACATTGGCCCTTTTCCCTTTCTTCATAAATCACGTTGAGTTGGGGGGGCCAATTACTTCTGTACCTGAATCATATCGCTAATTATCTACGGCCTACTCGATGGCTAATTTTTTTAAATAATACATTTTTTTAATAAAATTTGAAAAATAATACACAGTTTTGAGAAATTACAGAAATAATACAACATCGGCTTCCCGTGGGCCGACTGGGTTTGTTATAAGTTAAGAAATCCAAGAAATCTAAATTGTATACAATTACTTCTGCGTGTGATGGATGGATGGCTGCGCGGGTTCGCATCCCTCCCTGCCTGCGATCTGCTTATTACTCCTACTAGCAAAAGAGCCCGTGCGTTGTAACGGAAGAGAAAACATAACACACGCTCTTAACCCAACAACCATCACTCAAGACCACAATAGGTCCATCTTCTTTATTTTTGCGAGGCATCATATTTGTGTTGCCGCTTATCCTCCTTCTCACCCTCGCCGGCGATGACCTCAGTGTTCACACAAAACAAAACAAAACATGTTTGAATATGGTTAATCCTAAGGCGTCTCTCTCTCCCTCTCTCTCCTCTCTCTCCCTCTCTCTCTCGCTTTCTCTCACTCCCGCGATGAGAAATCTGTTGTTTTCCCCTGCGACATTTTTCATAGGTAGACATGTGTAGTTATCGATGTTTTTTTTCCCTATATGGTTATAGTGGGATGTTTATTTGCAATCCAGATCGCCGCCTGTATGAAAGAAAAACGGATCTCGCACTATAAATTATAAGTTTTCTTCCAAAACAATATTTAACAGGTAAAATTAACAACATATTTAGATTCCACACATTTTTCTAATAAAATTTCATATATAATATGTTAAAATCGAAGTTATGGTTTAAAAGATACGGATAATTTAGAAAATCATTTGTTTGACTTAAATATATTTCAAAATAATATTTAAAATACTTAACAAGTAAAAATAAACTCATATTCATATTCTACATATTTTTCTAAAAAATATTCCATATATAACATGTTCAAATCGGAGTTATGGTTTAAAAGATATGGATGATTTAAGAAAGCATTTGTTTGACTTAGATATGATCCACAGATGAATTACCTAAAACATTAGGGGGGATTTCAAAAAATCTAAAATAACGGTTTGGGTGTGACTTAAATCCGGATTGCGGGTTGATTTCATCAAAACACAGGGACTTTTGTGTAAAATACAAAAAACGATTCGTTTTAACTTTAAAATAGGACCGCGGGTTAAAGTCTTTGAAATAGAGGGACTTTTCTGAAAAATGCCATGACGGACGACCGAAACCCAATTTGCTTTATTATTAGGTAAAGATATGTGTGCTTAACTACTCCCTCCGTTCCTAAATATAAGTCTTTGGAGACATTTCACTATAGACCACATACGGAGTAAAATAAATGAACTTTACTCTAAAATGCATCTATTTATATTCGTATGTGGCTTATAGTAAAATCTCTACAAAGACTTATATTTAGGAACGGAGGGAGTAGTATACATGGGCTGATTGATTCTAGTATTGCATGTCACATGCATGCACGTGCAGATGCATGACAAAACCACCTACCTAGCACAGGATCATGACTTGGTACAGCCAGTGAGTACGCGCATGACCTGGCCGGGTTGTACGTGATCCCAGGACAGGATCATGACTTGGTACAACACTCTATTTAAAATAATAATCGAAAGTAGATTTGTTATAAGTTAAGAAATCCAAGAAATCTAAATTGTATACATCGGAATGCAGTATGACGCCGCTACATTTTATGAAAAGAAAATATTTTTCCAAACTACAAATGCACAAAAATAAATAAAACGGAACTATAATATACTAGCAAACAGTGGTAATATTCTTTTTGAAAAATCGGCGGAACCAGTGCATTTGTATTAGGAGGAAGTTAGGGATATGTGTGACTCGATCGTATCCCATGAACAACGTACATTCGCAGCAGCTACGGAGCGCAATCCAAGCGAACAAGGTGGCTGAGCTATAGCATGCACAGTGTTGCATTGTATCGGCACCTGGTGGCTGTGCTGTAAACGTTTTGTTTTTCCTTTTTTTTTCATATTTATTATTATTTTAGCTCCGTGTACTTTCAAATATAAAAAAATGGAAAACATTTTTGTTTTTTTCCTTCTCATACTGAATTTTCAACTTCTATAGCGTTTTGTTTTTCCTTTTTTTATATTTATTATTATCTTACCTCTGTGTACTTTCAAATATAAAAAACAAGTTCGCGCGAGAAGTTGAAGCTTTTTCGTTTTTCCTTCTCATATTGAATTTTTAACTTGTATATTCTTTCAAATATAAAAAGCAAGTTCGCGCTAGAAATTGTTCAACGACAATCATCATAAACAGAGA